CTGGAACAGTTCATGCACCTCGTTGTGCACAGATGTGGACCTGGAACAGTTCATGCACCTCGTTGTGCACAGATGTGGACCTGGAACAGTTCATGGACCTCGTCCTGCACCAAAGTGAACCAGGAACAATCCATCCCTGGAACAAGGTGCAGAGTGTGAAGCACACCTGGACCTCCTCGTATATGTAAATATGTACTGTCTTTTTTTTTTTTTTTTTGGGGGGGGGGGGGGGGGGGGGGGGGGGGGGAAGGGAATAACATGCCCATATGGTCCTGGGTCCATATCCATTCTGGGGAGCGTCAGTCCGGTTCCTACTCCACCGGTAGTCCAAACAAAATTGATACAACATATACCCACTCACGCCTCCTTCCGTATGGCCGAAGGACACCTGAACAGCCTTGATTGCTCCAATTCGTGGAGGATTCCTGTCGGCTGGCCTTTCCCTGTGATTCCTCTCAGGCTCTCTAGCAATGACCCCGCCAGATAGACCTTGATGCAAGAAAACAAACAGAGAATACGAACGGCGACTAAAGTCTCTTCCTTGCCCTGATAGTGGGTAGGCGTCTTCTTTGGGCTTGTAGCAGAACTATATTGCTCTTCTGAGGTCTTGTGGTTCTGGATGGTGAGTGTCACTCGGTCCCTGGGCCAGATCGGAGTTGTGCCAGTGCTTCCTCCGGAGGTGAACTCTATGAATGTCTGCTATCTTTCCTCCGCCCAGCCAGACTCTCGTAAATTTGGCCCGAAGTCCTTGCTGCTTGTCCGGACTGATCTGAATTTGGATCTTGACTTTCCTCCATTGACACAGGATTTCCGCCTCCATTAGTGATCTGGTTGTTGCCCACACCTTCTCACTTGGGAGTACATGAGTTCTCCAACGTTCTGCTTCATCTTTCCTTCCATATTACCCAGAGTGTCACACTACGAAATAGTCCAAACCAGATGCGCTCCGATTTGCCAAAGTGGGTGGGGATGTTAGTCCTTAGGAGAATTTGGGCTGGATGTTCAGGCAAGGACGAGCAGAAAAGATGGTGGTCCCAGAGGACGGACCGGATGCTCTGGCCCCGTAGTCTGTAGCCTCCTTACATGTGCTCAGGCAGTGTGTGGTATTTTCCTGTTCGTCGTCTGAGCACACTAAGCACAGATTCGTGCTGTTTGGGTCATTTTTCCTTCTTCTGACGTGTAGCCAGCTGTTCACTATGAGTGCATCGTCGCGATTTTTCCTTCTTCTGACATGTCGCCAGCTGCTCACTATGAGTGCAGCGTAGGCGACGAGCTATTGGAGACTTTTGATTTTAACTGGGCGAATTGATCTGTACTTTTGTCATGGTAACTTTTGGTGATTTTATCCGCTTCGGAGCCCGTATCAGTTTAAGACCATCTGTCCTTGATTACTGGCTCGGGGTCCTTGTCTTAAGTAGCATTCTGTAGCCCATTTTGATTGTATATTCTGTTATGGGAGTGGGAGTTTTGTGGGTTGTGTCCTTATTAGCAGAAGGTCAGGCCCATTCATGTGGGCCAAACTCGAGTTCTTGGATTGCAGTGTCCGTTTCAAATTAAAAGACTCTCACTCTCCGGACCGTGAATGTGTTGACTGCTCTTTGTGGGTCTGTGTTATGGATGGAGGGAGACGTGGGATTGGCTAGGTTGACCAGGGACGAGGTAAGGAGGCCTAGGAAATCTGAACCTGACGATCTGTGGGAGAACTGGTGAACCCTAGTCGGCACCAAGTCGTGAGTTAGATTGCGCCATTCCCCCGACTTCCATGTGAAGTCTTCTTTAAGTAGGTCCTTCCAACTGTCCGGAACGCTGTTAAATACTGGTTGTAGATTTTCATCGCGGTGATGACAGACTTTTAGGTGACTTTTCAAAACTTTTTCATCGGTCCAGTCGTTCTTTTCTTCATCCCATATGTGACTCGCCCACCATATGCCATGCCTCACCCACGAAAGCCATCGCTGGCCTCTTGAGAGTGACAGTGGATGGTCCCCTTCTTCCCTCGGGCATGAATATGTACTGTTACTATTGTTCTTTTTTTCTTTTTTTCCCCTGTTGTCCTTTCTGGGAGTGCACATGAAGAGAACTACGACCTACCCGGATACCTAACGGTCTCGACCATGGCCACGAGGTCTCCTCGGGGGAGTTACCGCCTCCTTCAACCTCAGCTATATGTCGTTCAGTGTCGTCTTTCTTCTTCCCCAATTACCCTCCTCTGTCCCTGCTCTTCCAAGAATTCCGGAATGGCGGGAATTAACTGGAGATAAACATTGATAAGAAGTATTAAGACGTGGTAGCTCAGTTGGTAGAGCTCTGGCATTGTGATGGGGAGGATGCAGGTTCGATTCTCTCGGCCCTCAATCTCCCTAGTGCACGATTAGTTGGTGCTAGATTGGCACCCCAGGTATTTGTTCCCCACCCTAGAGCAGCAGAGATGAGCCGTTGTAAACCCACGGGATACATACGGGATTGTGAGAAGGGAGGAGCGCTAAGGGGGCAGGGCCTGGGACAAAAACAGCATCCAGTGCCCCCACGCGAAGTAGTTGACTTTTGGAAAATCAAGCGTCAGAGCAAGCACGGGAAAAGGAGGCCCAAAGTCAAAGTCAACCCAGTAGGCAGCCTTGGCCATAGATCAGATGCACATCTATGGTTGGCTGCAGGTATGCGGAAGACTACAGTCCCACCTGGGAAAAGGCACCTCTGCTTCAAGGCTGCATTCAGGCCGTCGAGATCGGAAAAATCTGGCGCGTCGACACCGTCAAAGGGAAGACCGGTCCACGCCAGTCAACACTGGTCAGTGCTACAAAAGCACGGTCAGACACTGGGGAAGGCATTCTGCCTTGCACTGGCTTTATGCTATGGCTGTATCGTGAGGATGCTGGAGTTGGATGCTGGGGCCAGATGCCGCTGGTGGGCGCCAGCCTAGAGGGAGATTATGTTGGCGCGGCCATAGCCGCCTAGATGTAGACTAGGTGACGAGGATTGGCGAGGAGGAAGGGGATCAGGGCTGTGAGACTAAAGGTAGGTGTGGGGAGGCTTACCTGGACTCACCTGGCGATGACATGTGTAATCTGCTGCTGTCTCCACAACGGTGAGGAAGTGCACCGCCATCCTCCATATCTGATTGCTGACGTGGAGGGAGGACGGGCGCCATGTAGTGATCTGCACAGTGATTATGTCAGAGGACGTCAGAGGGAACATACATTGCTGAGGTGGCGATAGGGGAGAGGCCCGAAGTGGAAGTGGGAGAGAGAGTGAGACATACATGTCCTATTGATTATCATTAAGACTCTCCTTCTCCTCTTCTCTGTCTTTTCTCTGTCTTTTCTCTCCTCTTTCTCTCCTCTCTTGCTCTTCTTTGACGAGATGATACTCTTTGAGTTGTGCATGTGATCGAGACATGAGTTGTGCATGTGATCGAGACATGGACTTGTAATTGATGATTGGAGACTTCATGAGATGAGCTGCGTTCAGACTTCTATTGCATTGCTGACTGGCTTCTCACCGAGACCGGGTTCATTACAATTTGGTATCGGAGTGTTCTGCGCTTACCTCGCCGCCTGCTGATGATGACTGTGGGTGTGATGATGATGATGATGATGACGAGTGGAATGATGACAATGACGTTGTATAAGTGTTTGCCGTGGAGGAAGAAGTGCGGGATTTTGAAGATCACCGCTGAAGAGTTACTCTACCGGCGAGGAGATATAAGAAGTGCCACGTGGCAGTGTATGCTGCTGACGTGGCACCAGAGAGAGCCCGGCAAGGCCAAGAGGAGGTTCTGACGTGGTGCGTACTGCTGATGTGGTCGCTGCTTGCTGATGTGGCAAGTGGAACAGCTGACGTGGGCCGTATCCAGATGCTGACGTGGACAGAGGACCTCAGCTGAGGCAGGCACGACGGGTGACGGGAAATAAACGACTGAATTGACTACCTGAAGAACCTGAAGATTCTGAAGAATCTGAACTCAAAGTGATGACGATTTAATGATTTTTTTTTTGAAATACTAGAAATAAATTCAAATAATAATAATGTAATTTGATTTTTGAAAAGATGATTTTGCAGCTTATGATCTGTCTGAATTTGTTTGCCACCTGTGTCATAGAACGCCGATGGAGGGATGGCGACGTACGAGAACACGCGATCATATGCGTGGCTAGAGGTGCGCACGAGAACCTGGCCTGCTTTTTTTTTTTTTTTTTGCAATAAAAACCTGGCCTTTCTTTTCGACTTTTGCCATTCCTTTGCCGTTTGTTTTTTTTTTCCCTTTTTTTTTTTTTTTGCCATGCCTTGGCTTTGTTCCAGTCCCATTCCCTTTTCCAAATCCCTTTTCTGATTTCCTCCTTCAGTCCTGTTCTTTTTTTTTTTTTCCTGGTCTGTGCGTGGCAGTGTTTTCCTTTGTGTGTCTGGCGCGTTTCCCTCCCGTGAGCAAAAGGCATCTATGTGATTCATGTGTTGTGTTTTGTGCATCAGAGATCCAGAGTCTGCTGTTTCTTTTTTTCCTTTTTTTTTTTAACCACTCATCTATTTCCATCTGGATTCAAACTCAGGGGCGAGGTCCCATTAGCAGTCGGATAGGAGTGTGGCCGATCCAGTGTGAAACTCAGTGGCAGCGGCCTGACAAGTTCATTACGAATTTCTGGGCTGAGAAAACAGGAGAAAGGCAAAAAAAAAAAGAAGCAACAGAGACCTCCCACCGGAAATCATGGCAGAGTGCTTCCCAGCCATCAGATCACAAATGATCTGATGGTGGTGGTTGCAACAACAGTGAACAAAGTAACCGCCACATATTCTGGAATAAACTTGACCTCTGTCAACACAGATCCTGACACCCTCCATATACTCCGTGACTGAGGGAGGGCTCCACCCAATGAGATAATTGCACAACAGCAAGTAAAATACTGAAAATCTTCTATCCAGTGGGCCTAAAGCTGACCCCACCCTCCTTTGGGGTTGGCGACACCCCCAACCGATTGAAAAGATTCTGGCGGGAAGCTTTCTTTGCACGGGCATGCCCAGTGTTAAGGAGAGGAGGAGGGGAACGAAGATCTCCTTATTTTCAGGTAATACGAGTAAAATACTGACCGTGGGATCACGAGTACTGCACGGCAGGATTTGGGTCACTCAACTGCCCCACAAACTCGTTTCTATCCTATCCCGTTGCTAGTGGGACCTCGCCCCAGGTCTGCTGCTCGTTTGTTCATGGGTGTACCAACTGGGGATAGTTTTGTGCATCAGAGTCAGCTGTTTCGAAATTCTAAAAATAAAAAAAAGAGTTTGTTAAATTTGCACTACAAAACACCAAAAATAAAAAAAATACTAAAAAAAAGAGAGTACAGGAACAGAAAAGTCAATGCGGAGTAGAAGGCGTTGGGAGGATGTGGCCCCCAGAGAAAGACCATGGTTTTCGGGGGTGGGCCCCCTCTAGCAGGTCCCCCCTTGGAAGACAATCAATGCCACAAGGGTTGGGCTGTTCCCCTCTTCTGATCTGATCTCCCCCCGTTTGTTTGGATGAACAAACATGCTTGCCGGTGATAAGTAACAGGACTGCTGCCCCCCAAATAGAAGGGGCTTTGTGTTTCTTTAAAATATATATATAATAATAAAAAAAAAAAGCACTACAGAAAATAGTACAGAATCTACATTGCTGCTGCTCTCTCTCTCTCTCTCTCTCTTTGATCTTTTTCCGCACTCTGCTCGATGTGCATCTTACCTCTGTTTCGGTGATGAAGTCCTTCATTGCTGCTTAGACTGCTTCCTTCTCTGATTCATATCTGTCAATGGTCTTCGACCATCTCCTCGACCAGATCACCAAGAGAGTGGGTGGCTTTCTTGATGATGATGCCATACCATAACCTTGAAGACTAGCGTGGCCTCTGTAAAAAAAAAAAAAAAAAAAAAAAAAAAAAAAAGGATGTGGGTCAGATGTGGGTCGGAGCTGAGCTGCAATCAGAGTAGGTCTGAGTGTTTCCTTCTTTCCGATCTGAGCAGGTAATCAGACGACTGCTTCCTTATATGAGTGTTTCCTTCTTTCCTAACGCTAGAAATTCACCGGGAGCACAGCATAGGCCTTCAACCATGGGAAGCTTGTTCAGCAAAAACAAGCATAAGGGGAACCTTCTGAAATCATAGATGACGTAGGTTTCCTATTTTTCTTCCCGCTAACAGTCCCAAAAAAAAAAAAAAAAAAATAAAAAGAAGAAAATCTCGTTTGTTTTGTTCCCAAAAAAAAAAAAAAAAAAGGTT